ATGATAGAATTTTAGATCTATAAGATTAAATTGTACCTGAAGCTAGAAGAAATCTCAATTTTTTAATAATTTCTCCTTTTTTGTTATCACAAAACTATCACATTACTCTTTCATTCCTTCTGTTTAAATGACCATTAAATGTTTTACATCCCTTTTACTAAAGTAAACATGTTAACACTTAAAGTGAGCTACCATCAAAGTTTGATTCTGACAATGAGAGTCTAATTTTGTTATGTCACTCGAAAGGTGAATATGTTCTAAATTGGTCAGACAATACTTAGTCATGTTTTATGAACATTCAAAACCCTCGGCTACGCCTTGGGCTATAAATATTCATAAAACATGACTAAGTATTGTCTAACCTATAAGTAAATTCAGTACTGTTTAGACAAATAGCTTGCGTTCAATTAATATCTGTTCACTCTAAGTTCAAATTGTTCACTAGCTATCATTTATTTTTACGTAACTAAAACATACTGAATTGTCTGAAAAGGTCTTAAGATCTTTGTTTGAATATTGTTTTTATTGGTAGAGATACTGATTTTGTTATTAGTAAATTAAAAACAAACTTAATATCATTGCTATACACATATGTACATTCAAGGTCATAAACTCTGTCGATACTTAAATTTAGCATGTTTTAGTCCACCAGATTCTGTATGTGCCTGTCCAAAGTCAGCAGCCTGTTATTCAGTTGATGTCGTTTGTTGCTGTATATCATATTGGTTTTCGTTTATTGCTTTGTATATAAATCAGGCCGTTATTTTTTTCATTTGAATTGTTTTACATTTGTCATTTCGGGGCCTATTATATCTTACTATGCGTAATGGGGTTTGTTCATTGTTGAAGGCCGTACAACGACCTTTAGTTGTTAACTTCTAGGTCATTTGGTATCTGGTGTAGAGTTGTCTCATTGGCAATCACACCACATCTTCTTATTTTTATATTAATGTTTAAGTTTCAGTTTTTTCAGATGATGTTCAAAATGACCGTTTAAGACTGAAATTCACTAACTAGAAAAAAAATAATTATAGGTTTAACTTTAAACGTGTAGTCTATTTAAGGATACATATAGTTAAAAAAATAACCTTGTTTTCATCTTCGCTATTACCATATGATTTGCATACCTAACTTCAACGACTTCATCAAAATGACTTCTCACTTTTTACTCTTAATTTCGGAAATTTACCTCGTATAGGTATGAGCTTATTAAAATACAAGTTGTGTCTAACAGTTACCAAATAAATGTCTTTGAACATTGATTTTTCAAAATAGTTTGAAAGATCTACTGTTATCTCAGAGAGCAGTGACAGAGTTATCCCTGGTGCTGATACAGACCGAGTTAGTCAGACGTAAGTATGAGTCTACGGGTTTTTTTTCTGTTTCCTTCATTCTTTTTTTTAAGCCTACTGATGAATTGATGTACAATTAGGTGCATTATTGTTTTCGTGAAAGCCAAATATTATTGAAGTAAAGTCATGAAGTCAAAAAGCACATTTTTTCACCTGTAATCGTAAATTGCGAATAACGACAGGAACTACAAGCAAAATATTCAATAACTGTACAAATTCCATACTTACGTCTGACTTAACAAAAATAACGGTTAACAACTCTACCTACTATTTTTAACAATAAATTTCATAACACGCAAACCAATACTAAAATGAGAATCGAGTATCCTAAGTACAATTTTGTCAGGTTTTGTACCACCGATATTGGATGTCTAGTACCGGAGGGTATCTCCAGCAAAGTAGCTAACACTTTCGTGTTGACATAGAATAGTATGGATGTGTTCCTTTTTCTGTAAATTGACTGTTTCGATTCGAATGCCAGTGATGAGTCTTGTGTAGACAAATCGTGCGTCTGTGATACAAAATATAAGCCTGGTATTGTTGAGGAGTTTTTAGTTGAGCCAACAATTAGTCTTTAAAACTTAATTTAGGACAAGTTTTTGCAATTGATATCTTCCAAACATGAATCCATTTACTTTTGTAAAACAAAAAAAAATGTTATTTTTGTGTTAAACATTTCTGTTTGTTAGGCTTCGAAGCCTTGCAATGACTGAATGTGTCATTTGACACGCTCTGTGAGTGGAGTTTTGCTCCCAATATAATTTTTTTGAAAATGAAATAAGAATGACATTTTATTTGTTATTTTGCCGGATCAGAAATGTATAATTTTATTAATGAATAATGTTATAAGGTACAACATATAAAAAATAAATGATATCATTAAATGCGAGATAAATCTGCACTTGTAGAACAGTTAAATTGGCAGTATAACACGGATAAACGGCTAGAATGCATCACATAAATGACATAAAAGTAACTCCCTCTGTGGTTAACCAGAAATTGTGTCAAAAATGAGGTCCGTCCGAAAATGTTTCTCGGTACCGTAATGACCTTGCAGTTCTTCTGTTCGAGATATGTGTAAAAAAAAAGGAACAAGTTTATCCTCCTAGGATAGGAACACAAAAATTGATTGTGAAAATAATCAAACAAACTTTATAAATTGAGGGACGAGGTTACAGATTACTCCCCGTCTAATATCTTTCTGATATCATTATCCCATAAAAAAAACTGTATATGAATATACGATGAAAATCACTATTTAATCCATAGTTTCACTTTATACACTAAATATGTACAGCCAGGAATCATGTTAACTACTGGTCGTGTAATTTATGTCGGTTCTCAATTTACGACTTCACTTTAGAATTTCTTATATAAATTCACAATTAATCCCACGGGAAACTAGGAACGACAGAGTTTCTTGTCCTTTAGAAGAATCATGTCTTCGACGAGATCGTTGTGATCTGTAGAAATTTTCCATTATTGTTGCGACGGTAGGAACCATACTCTCCAACATTGATAATCGTCTAAGACGGTTTAAGATGGTCCTCTGGTAAGCCAGACGAGAGTTAGTACTTGGTACTCTTCTACATTTGCGGAACATCACTTATTTGTGAGTATCATACGAAATCAAGCGTTTCGTCTTTACGTTTCATCCGGTGGATCTAGTTGCTCTATCTGTGAAGTGTCTACTTCGAAGTTTGATCTTGTCATACATAGTGTCGGACAAAAGAAGTGTTACTATATGATGACGTCCAGATAGGATCACTGGTTCTTTCTCAATATGACTTAAATCACATTTGAAGATACGACCACCTACTCGAAGTAGTCCGTGCTTGTTCAAAAGCGGATTTAGGTTGGCAATCGGGCTTTGCTTCGGAATAGGTTTTGCGAAAGTAATTGATTTTTTCTCTGTTAACTTCATGTCGTGCTAATTCCAGAATCAAATTTGCAGTATCCGAAAAACTCTCCTTAAAAGTCACAGACTTTAACATTGGTGACAAGAAGTGTTCTGATTCTGCAAGATGTTATTTTTCTTTGTGTTGACTTCAGACGGAACTGTTTATTTATCAATGTGTGTGTTTCCAATTATGACCCAACCAAGTTTAACTTTTGGACAAATGGAGCTCTGGATTGTCCTATGCGTTGTGTAAGGACAAGATGTGCCTCTATGAGGTCTCTTCTAACCAGCAGTATAATTTTTCATTGTTCTTCAAATGGTGGAATTATTTCGCTAAGGGTTTCTAAATGTGGATAATGTTAAGTGTCTCGGAATTTCGTCCAGATTATTGGAAATATTATCACATTTAATTAATAAGACAGATCGAATTGTACGTCACCATAAACGGATTTCATGACGAAATTTCTACCTCTTAGTGTAGTTTTCTGGTTTATCTCGTACGTCAAAAAGACTGAAAAATTCTGACAGGTCTAGAGACCGGTTTCTTTGGTCGTCAAATATGGCGACCACCCGGATAGCTTTGTTCGCATTCTCCTTGTGATACACATCCACAGGTTATATCTTGGCACAAGATTTCCCATTCTAAGGATTCTTGAAGATCTCTGTGAAAGTTGAACTAACAGAGGTTTAATTGGTTTCAGCTGACTCTGTCTGCTCCCCATTCTAGACTGTTCTGGGGGAACTAAATTGAGAACTTGCTGATGGTTACACCCTAGAGATGAGTAGAGCGGTGGCGTGTTGTTAACCTTCCACTCATTACAGCTGCTGCTCGCGTTGCAAACCCGACTTCTATGTGTGGTTGACTCACAGTTCTTGTAGCAAACATTGTTTTGTTTTAACATTTCTTTGCGTTCCTCAATTGATCTGGCTCGGAACGCTCGGCATTCGTTCAACAAATGCTTTATCTTATATAAGAAACAAAGATCTTGTTGTCACTTGTTCTCCAAATTGCTGTTCAACTGCCGTCTTAAGAACGTTCATTTTAGAGTACGTCTGAGGTGTGAACCTTGGCTCAGCACCTTTAACTTTATTTTTCCGACTCAAAGTTGAAATCAGGATAGTTCTTAATCTTGTTTATTATTTTTAAGAAGGATTCTTCTTTTTAAAATAATAGAGAACAGATGGATCATGATAATTTGGCCATCAATAAAAGAAGGAGCTAGGGGAACGTTGAAGAACTTTCATCTTTTGAAAAGGGAAGTACATTTTAACAATTTTGGTGTTATGACATCGTCCGGTACAAACGGAAGATCGACAGTTTCTGAATAAAAATTGAATTATCTTCAAAAGCTACCTACAGCTACGTTTACAATATTCCCAGAAACTCAGTGCAACTATCAGGGAGAAATAAGGGATTTCACTTTATTGAAGATTGTACAATTACGCAAAGCCACTTCCCCACAGTGAATATTGACATCTCATAAGGATTGGTATTAAACCTGCACCAGCCAATTATTAATTGGCATTTGGTGTAGCCATTATATTTCTTTAACCGGGGGCAGACTATCACCTATATCATGTATGCTTTAGATATCAATTTTATTTGGACGATAAAATCAACAAATAACCCAAGCAGCGATTATAAATGTTTGGATTATCTAAAACGATCTCCATGTTTGTTTTAATTGCTATGTGCCTTGATTTAAGCATTTGATTGACACGAAATTTGTATGTTCTTTTCTAAATAGTTTACAAGATCGACGGTTGTCCGCACAGGGAACTATAGAACGGTAGCTGACTCAATACGAATTAGTCAAACGTGAGTAGAAATACGACATTCAACTGTAATGGTCTTAAAACACGCCTTCTATTGTCAGATGTTTGGAAAACGCAAGAAGTATTAATATTTTCTTTTCACTTTGTATTCAGTCGGCTATCTCATCGTAAAGATAATTCAATTTTTAGTACTGTAGTTAATATTTACTTTATGTGGATTCTGTTGTTTTTTTTTAATTACTGTAGCATTAAAGTTTTGTAAATACCATCATTGGTGCATAGGCATAGCTGTGTTCTTTTTGTGTTAATATATATAATCTTTTCTTTTTGTTTTGAGTGATAAGCGATAGGTCTTTAATGGGGACTGTACAATTTAAGAGGTTCAAAATGAAAGCTATAGCGAGGATGTTAACAACTTTTATTTAACAATCGAGGGGCGTTTTAAATCAGCGGTTTATTAATCTAAGTCTATCCGCTATATATTTAGATGTAAATGTGTATCAACAAGAGTAGAAATAATGTTTAATAATTTTTATTGAGCCAATGTGGAATATCAGGTTGTTAACATTTGTTTTCAAGGTGTGAAAGTCAGATTACATGACATTCCTTAGTAGCTTCTTGTATATTTACCGAACGTGTTTTTATTTTGGTCTCGCCTACGACGAAAGTCGAGAAAGCGAGACAGAGGGATTGCTTTTCCGACGAGGGTAAAGGCGACGGCGTCAACAATTGTCATGTTTTCTGCTGAAGTAAGTTTGATTGGAACCACTTGTGATAGATCAATGATATTTTGTTTAAAGTTGCATTGCTATCAGTACATATCAGTTTGACGACTATTGTGAGGCACCACCCCCTAGGCCTTGGTCCAGTGACTTTGAATTAATAGCAATTTTTACTTTTAATGTTTCTGCTTAATTTAGATTGATAGGAAGTACTTGTGATAGATCAATAATATTTTGTTTGAAGTTGCACTTCTACTAGTACCTATAAGTTCGACTTTTTTTAGGCCCTGCCCCCTAAGGCCATGGTTCAGTGCATTTCAATTAATAAGCAATTTTCAATGTTAAGTTTTCTGCTTTAATCAGTTTGATACTTTTGATAGATCAGTGATATTTTGTATAAAGTTGCAGTACTATCATTTCATGTCAGTTTGACGACTATTTTGAGGCCTTGCCCCGAAGGTCATGGTCCAGAGACTTTGAATTAATTAGTATTTTTCAATGTTAAGTTTTCTGCTGAAATAAGTTTATCAGGAACAACTTGTGATAGATCAATGATATTTTCTATAAAGTTTCATTATTACTATCAGTACATATTAGTTCGACAACTATTTCAAGGCCCTGGTCCCTAGGTCATGGTCTAGTGACTTTCAAAAAGTTAACAATTTTCAATAATAAGTTTTCTGCTTAAGTTATTTTGATAGGAACTACTTACAATAGACAACAATATTTTCTATAAAGTTACGTATACATTGCTGTCTATACATCTAACTTTGTCAATCATTTCGAGGCCCTGCCCACTAGTTGGTCCAGCGAATTTGAATAAATTAGCAATGTTGCTGTCCATCAGATTGTTTTACTGAATTTTATGCCGACAGGCAAGACATATCTCTGTGTCAACAGTTTATTATGAAATTAAGTTGTTTAATAACATTACATACTAGTGTACACGATGTAGTTATTTTAGGATTCTTATTATCAAATTTAAGAAAACAGTTGTCAATTGGTAAAATGAGTGCTGGTTTTGATTAATGTATGACACGTTTCACCACAACAGAGCTTGTTTGTTTGACGGAGGGGCTTTCACATCAAGATATTCATAATTTGCTTGAAGTAGTAGAAAACACAAAATCAAATATGCCAAAAGATATTAGTTTCTATGAAAAGGGACCTTTTGCCCAGACACTACAAGAAATAAGGAGAAACCCAACGGTTTTAAAAGAATGAAGACTTGATTTTGATCAAAGAAACCATTCAAAATTATGTTGATAAATATGAGGTCTCAATTATGAAAAAGAACAACTTGGTTTAAATTGCTGAATTGAATACATCTGTCACTAAATGGGAACACTGATGAAATACACAGTGGATGTTGTGTTATATCAACCTCGTAGTTTGTCATTTTTTGTCAATCTTCGTCTGGTTTTCGAAACAGTATATCGTGACGAAGAATGTGTACCAGGAACTACAAAACATTTTACCAGGATAGTAAAAATACAGAGCTGAACCAAAAGACTAAACACATCTTTATTTAAAACTCTCAAAGCTGAATTTGAAAACAGAATACTGATAAAACAAGTCTGGTATCCGGTAATTTAATTATAAATCATTATCATTAACTGTAATTTATAAAGTTGTTATTATAATGAAAAACGTGTTCCTACAGATTATAGGATTGTAACTCGACATTTGTATTTAATGTAAAAAAAAACCCACCGGGAACAGTTTTGCAATAAAAGAGATCACTGAGTGTTCCGTTAAGATTTGTTATAGTTAATAATAAATAATAATAAAACAAGTTGCTTTCTTTAAAAAAAGAAATGCAATCGTAATCCCAAATTCTTGTTTGGCATTAGATATAAGATAATTGTTTAAAAAAAAAGATTTATTGTTTTATATCATTTTTGTTATATAAGAATTAGAAACTGACAGTGACTGTTTACTTAAAGTAAATACTGTTCAATGTGGGGTGAAATATTCTTGTTAAAGGAATATTTTTTTCTCTCCTCTCCCCCAAAAGACATTATGTTAAGTCACCCACTTGATGTTCCATTCTAAGATGCTGGTTTTTGTTTTTAAATTAGAATTAGTTTTTAGGCTAACGTTCAAATGCAAACGTGAAGAAATTTAATCAATTAATGATTATATGTGTTTAAGAAATGCAATACGTGAACCTGTAAAATATCCGTTTTTATTAGAATTTGAGACATGTTCATGGTTATTTGAACAATGGCTTGATATTGATCATTATTAAGATCCTTACACCTGCTCTGCAAGGTTTTTTTATGCTTAGGATAGCAAGCATTGGCAATTTTAAGTTCTGTGCTTTGTGTATGCTCTTAAAAGTTTTAGATCACAAACCTCTTTTGTTAAAAACAAACACTTTTAAAACCTTTAACTCGCTTTAAAGATATTTTCCGGATGTCCCTTTTTATTTTGATGTTTTCTTATATTTTAAATTGTGGGTCATGAAAAAAGGCCTGCAAGTTTAATTGTAAATATATACAATTTGAATCCCACTGTATCCTCTTCACCTTGATGACCGAAACCAATTCATTAAAAAAGATATTTATAGCCTAGACAAAACAGCTTACACCTTGTACTTATAAACAAACAAACAAAATTGAAAACAACAAAAAAACTAACATGGTCAAACCTGAAATTACCACTGATCAGTATACCCATCACCTAAATATGAGTTTGTTTAAAGGTCACATTTATGAACTGTTGTAAGGTGTTCCTTTTTGTCGAGCCTTCGACTTTAGTCGAAAAAGCGAGACAAAGTGATTCTACATTCCGTCGGTGTCGTCGGCGGTGGCGTCCACAAATATTCACTCTGTGGTTAAAGTTTTTGAAATTTTAATAACTTTCTTAAACTATTCTGGATTTGTACCAAACTTGGACAGAAGCTTGTTTATGATCATAAGATAGTATCCAGAAGTCAATTTTGTAAGAATAAAATTCCATTTTTCCGTATTCTACTTATAAATGGACTTAGTTTTCTGCTGGGATACAATACATTCACTCCGAGGTTAAAGTTTTTTTTAAATTTTAATAACTTTCTTATACTATCCTGGATTTGTACCAAACTTGGACAGAAGCTTGTTTATGATTAAAAGCTAGTATTTAGAAGGAAATTTTTTGTTAAAATTTTGTACCTGTTTATCTGTATTTTACTTATAAATGGACTTAGTTTTTCTTCCAGTTAACATTTCATACAGTCTGAAGTTAAATTTTTTAGATTTATAAACTATCCTGGATTTTTACCAAACTTGGACAGAGGCTTCTTAAAATAAAAAAAAATAGTATTGAGAGGAATATTTTTATTGATTTTTTCCTCATTTTTGTTGAGCCTGCGATTTACAGCAAAAGTAGGCGAGACACTGGGTTCCGCGGAACCCTTACGATTTTTTTATCTGAACACGATTTTTTCATTAAATATTAAAGGGTGTCTTGTACATGGTAAAATTACACTACTGTCTTATGGTATGTATGTAAATTCTTTTAAACCAGGTGTATTCATAAGCACATGTCCCAAGTCCGAAGCATGTTGTTTAGTGGTTGTCTTTTTTGGGTGCAGTTCATATTTGCTTTTTGTTTCTGGTTTGAAGTTCAATTAGATCTGTTTGTTTTTTCCTGTTTAAATTGTTTTATAACCGTGTTTTGGGGCCCTCGGTAGGATGCTGTCCAATGTGAGCCAAGCTTTTGTGTTGAAGGCTGAATTATAACCTATAATTGCTAATTTTGACTACACTGTGTTTTGATGGAGAGTTGTCTTCCTACCACATTTAAAAAGATATTCCCTGACATTTGACAAATCCATTAGAATAATCGAGATATTGAAATTAAACTGAAGTTGCCTAGTAGGTTTCTTACATTGACCCGGCTATCCTTTTTCTTTCTTGCTGGATAGTTTTATACTGGTCATTTGGGGGCACTGTGTAGCCTACTGATCAGTGAGATGGCTCAAAATCTTCTTATACTATTTTACATTTTCGTACTTAATATATTAAAACCGAAAATTCATCATCTGATCGTCTTTATGAAATAATAATTATTTATTTTTATTTTGACGAACATTTTGAAGAGCATTAATTACTACAGGCCGAACATATAGTTTGATAATCTGTTCCCTGACCAAGAAAACTATAAATAGAAATTATTTTTTCTTATCTCTGCCTGCATCTGTCATCACTCGGTGTCTATTAATTAATAGACATTTGATAAGGAAATAACGTTGCAATATTTAAACAAAGAAAATTGCAATTTTAAAGAAAATAAAAACTATTCAAGGACGTATATCAATTTAGATTGTATACGTCCT